CCTTCCACCCCAATGCCCCTCCCTTTAGCTCAGAGGGCCACCATCATTTTGTACCCAGATTGTCCAGCAGCCTCCTAATATTATGGCCTCTGAACCCCATAGAGAGACACAGACACACCCATCATGTTTTTTTTTAAGATTTACTTATTTGTGCATATGAAAATGGGGGTACAGGCCATAAGAGGTGCAGGGGGTGGGAGGATTCACCAGAGACAGAGGATTCAACAGAACCAGTGGATTGACCGAAATACACTGCTGAGGGGAGGGGCAGTAGAGGTCTGCTGTGCTATGGGGGTCACCTCCCCTGGCCAGGAATCAAACTTGGGCTTCACTAGCTGCAGATAACCTCACAGTGCTGCTCTTTTATCCCTAGCACCACCAGGAAGGGCCCAACCATCACATTTTCTTAACCTGGTGCTGAAGTAATCTTTCAGAAGCACAAGGACAGAAACTGTTGTTCACAGGTACCTCCAGGGTTGGCCCAATTTAGCACTCCATGGCCTCAGTCCTCACCACTTGCTTATCCAACTCTTTTCAGAGCTAGGTTCAATGCCCATTTTGCCAGGAACCCTTTCCTGTGACTCCCCACCACCCAGTGTGGGTTAGCAGCCCCTGCTAGAGACTTTAATAAGCTTAGTATTTTGTCAGAGACTAGCTCCAACTTTTGAGGTGTCTGGAGGCAGCACAGGCAGGACCCTAAGATGGGAAGGCGTCGGCAAGCGGAGATTCCAAAAGGGGAGACAGGAGTGGGTGCGAGGAAGACATGGGAGTCAGGATAGGGTGCAAGTCTTCCTGCCATTCCCTCAGCATGTCTTTATTTATACTGTGCAGCAAGTAGTTAATTGTAATAATGCATAGGCTAAGTTAATGAGATATCTCCATAAAACATTCTCAAGGACAAGGGGAAAAAGCATTCTTCTCTTAACAATTTATGGTATATTAGATTATTCGTTTTGTGATAGTCTAGTTGTTTAGTTGTCACTCTAAGGAAGAGGGGTCTGGGAAAGGGTGAGCTTGTTAGAAAAAGGTTGTTAGGGGCCTTGGGGTAGTAATAAATTGTGTTAGCAGTGTTATCAGTGATTGTCTAAAGAAAAGCTAATGGCAAATTTAAGGCTAGCAGAGAGTAGTTAGTGCTTGTTTTAAAAAGGAGTAAAGAGAAAGTTGTACAGTTGTGTATCAAACAACACCTGTGTAGTTGAGGTTAAAATTTGTCCATTATGCCCTGGGAGCCTTACCTGAGGTTTGCTTTTTTATTTAAAGAAACCAAGGGAGCTTCCCAGGAGTTTTTATGCCCTGGGGTCTTATCTCTCCTGGGGCTTGCCTTCTGTCTCAGGAGACAGAGGAATTTCTCTTCCTGGGGCAGCTTGCTTGAACCAGGCAGCCGCCTGTGTGGCTAAGACAATCCAGTTATAAACTGAATGTTGCTCAGAATATTTTGATATTATGTTTATACAAAAAAGGGAGGTCCTAACATAAGTTAGCAGTGGACAGTCTGATTTTTCAGAGCTTTTCCCGAACCACCCGGAATCTGTCAGACGATGGATGTTGCATAGCTTGTGTCAGTATTTGTTTTGTTCTGTCCTCCCTCTGCAGCTCCTTGAGGACAGGGACTCTGCTTGACTCATTTAGCACACCATTTGACATGGTGGTAGGTGCTCATAAGATGTTTGTCAAATGAATAGCTAATTAGATATGACAATGGGGGTGGGGGAGTGGAGTTCAGCAAAGACAGTCTTGGAATCTCTCAGAAAGGATTCATAGTTGTAAGTTGAGCTGTGGGGAATGTTGTGATAACTCAGAGCAAATAAAGCAGGGGTCAAGGATAGGACATTCTCTCTTTTTTTTAATTTAGAGCATTTTTATTACTTCTTACTGTTATTTTTCACTAAAGTAATGATGAGTCAGGGCCCTCCCTGATGGTGCAATAGGTTAAAGTGCAGCACTGCAAAGTTATCTCCAGCTACTGCAGCTCAAGTTCAATCCCTGGCATAGGAGCTGACCCACATGGCGCGGCAGACCTCTCCTGCCTCGCCTGATGCTCCCCTCAACAGTATACTTCTCAATCTGCCTGTTCTGCTCCCCACCCTGTCTCTGATGAATTCTCTCACTGCCCCTGCACCTCTGGCCTGTTCCCCAGTTCTGTATGCATAAATAAGTAAATCTTTTAAAAAATAATGATGAGTCAAAGTGATAATATATTCAGAAAAAGGAGCATCAAGTTTTAGAAGACAGATAATAAATACTACCTCTGTCTGGTCTTCCCAGGCTGACTCATCAATGGCATAAACCTGAATATTGTAGGCCATTCCGTTTTAAAGGGGAAAAGATTTCTCTACCAGGTAGGATCAGTTTGACTTAGGCAATAGAAATCCCACACCAGAACTTTCGAGAGGTCAGTCCTGAACTGGCATTCAGCTCTGTTCTACAGGGATCGTCAAGATGTGTCTCCTCTCACCTGTTGCTCCAGCAACCTTTGATATCACTCTTGTCCTCATAGTTCAAGATGGCAGCCAGTGATCCAGCTGTCACATGTGCATTGCAGGCAGTGGAATCGAGACAAAAATGAAGAAGATGACAGAGGATTTGGACCAGGTCTCTTTTAAGTGATCTCAGATGGCATCATACATTCCGCACATATTCCATTAGCTAAAAACATGCCAGATGCAGTTGCAAGAGGAGGCTGGGAAATACGACTTCCATTTTAGGCAACCACATATCCAGTCAAGAACTAATGGTTGTATCACTGTAGATAGAACAGATGCCCAAGAACTACTAGCTGACTTTACTATGGAAAGGGAGGATAATGGAGAGACAGAGCACCACTGTGCCAGGCTATTACTATACCTGATCACAGAGGTGGCTTGGAGAGTTGAATAACTTGCCCAAGGACACCCAGTGACTGAAGGTAGAGCTGTAATTGAAGTCTTGTCTTTCCCCTGCATACCAGCTTGGCTGAGAAATCAGGAGGAGTGTGGGTCCCATGAGCTAATGGCAGGAAGTCTTGCAACAAGGAGGATTTGAGCAACAGAAACCGAGAGGTCAAACAAGATCTGGGCTGAAGATCTCACTTGCATTTAGCTTGTTGCTAATAATTTGGCAAGGGCGATAGAAGTGGGCGTGGGGTAGGGGCTAAAAGCCAGTTGCAGAGGGTGGGACACAGAATAGCATAGCCTGGCTTTTCAGTAAAGGGACAGCTGCAGAGGAATTTGGGCCGGGAGGAGGCAGAAGAGGGCGGTGAATATGGGAGTGGAGGAAAGGAGGCAGTGAGGCAGGTCCATGCGCTGGGAAGAAGGGTCTGGAAAGCAACTCAGAGCAATGCTCTTCTGCTCACACAGGAGCAAGGGTAGCTAGGTCTGGAGAAGAAAAGTACGAAGAGTAAATTTCTATCTTATAACATCTGAAGGATGCTTCTTGGCTGGGGAGGGGGACAGAAGGCCTTAGGAAAGAGAAGGGGTCAGCCTGTATTGTCCAATGTGGTAGCCACTACCACATGTGTGATATAAATTCATGAAAAGTGAATAAAGCAAAACATTAAGTTCCTCCTCACACTGCCACATTTTAAGTGCTCAGTGGCCATGAGTGGTTAGTGAACACCATGGGGAAGGACACAGAACATTTTTCCGTCTTCTGCTGGACAGCACTGGTCTAGACAGAATTCAGTGAGGGAGGTGCCCGAAGACCCTGTCTGGCTGTAAGTCCAGACCTGAGGTCAGGTCTCTGGAGAATCTTTGCAGACACTCCATTCAAAGCCTTCTCCTTTTTGGGATTCCCTCCTATCTCACTCCTGGAACAGCTAGTCCCAGCCTCCCTGCTGTGAGGCCTCTCTGGAGGACCCCCACTGTTCCAGAGCTGACTGTTCCCAGCATGGCTAGAGCATGGGGAGGATTGGGAAGAGCCCCAAAGTTTAGGGCCCTGGCAGAATAGTGGCCCAGGGACCGAGATGAGCTGAGTCCCAGCACTGACCAAGCTGGGCCCAAGACGTAGAAAAATCAGCTTATTTCTACCCACTGACAGATCCAGAAGTACTTCAAAGGTGGCTCGGGGCAGGCCCAATTTCACAGAAGGGCACACTGAGTTTCAGAGAGAGCTGGGAAGACAGGAGGCAGTGATTTGTTATCATTTCTTTATTGCGCTCCACCCCTAGCTTTGCCGGACCTTACATTCAGAAGGCACCAGGTAGGCCTTGGGAGTGGGGGAGAGCCATAGGCTGGGAGCCCAGGATTTGACCAAGGCTCGCACCCTGACCAGAGGTAGCTGAGTAAAGATTCAGGGCCGGGAGGGGCTGCCCTGGGGATAAGCATCTATAGTGGTGGTAATGAGGCCATGTGTTGTGTTTGCAAAAGGGGCAAGATGTGTCCAGATGCTTGTGTTTGCAGGGCCCCGAACTGTTCAAATACAATGTGGACGGGAGAGGGGGTGCATGCTGGTGCATAGGGCATGTGCACGAGAACCCCATGGCTGTGAGTACACCATATACCTCAGTGCCTGCTCCTGTCAGGTAACGCGGGTCCAGGTTGAGTCTGATACTCAGCCAGGAGCAATTCTTAAAAGCGGTGCTTAAAATGGGAGTTTGTTCTCCATGGGGATCATCTGACCAGCCTTGGAGACTCTGGGCTGGAGGTCTGGAGTGGACCTAGGTGCCTGCTCTGCTGCTAAGCTTCCTTGGGAATCTGAAGCCAGTGAGAAACAAGGCTGTCCAACTGAATTTTCTATAATGAAGAAAATGTTCTGTGTTATCCAGCATGGCGGCCACTAGCCATATGTGTCTCCTGAGCAATTGCAATATGGCTCATTTGAGGAACTGGATTTCTTATTTTATTGAAAGAAAATTCATTTACATTTAAATGTAGTCAGCTGTGGTTAGTGTGCCATATTGGAGAGCACAGGGGTAGAGACCCCAAGGCAGTGGGTGGATAAGGGCCTAGAGAGAGAAGCACCAAGCTCGGGTCCAGGAGTGTGAGAGTGGGGAGGTTCCCGTGGGGAGTGCTGGGGTGCAGAGTTGGAGCCAGAGCTCCGGATTGCATAGGTGTGTGCTAGTGTCCACTCTGAGCTGCTGCCAGCTTGGCGTCTGCCTGGCTGAGAGGACAGGAGAACTCCTGAGGAGAGCCCTCTGTCCTGGCAGGGTCCCCGGCAGGGCTCCCTTTCAAGGCCTCACACTGCATCTTCAGGAGTTGGGGGCTGAGGGTCAGTCAGCATGTCTTCATGTTCTCCTGCAGGCCCAGGGTGGAGCTGGTGGCCCCGGGGTCACGCTCACCCTGTGGAAGCATTGGGGGGGGATAAAAGTCAGCTCCAAGGAAGCAGCTGTACCCCTAACACAGACACATGGGTCTGAGGCCTGGGAAGGACTGAACTCAGGGCGTTAGTTCTCTTACCGCCTCTGGCCCCATGTCCTCTGCATACTTGAACTTCTTCTGCTTGTAGTAGTGCCTCTTGGGCAGGATATGGAGCAGCAACAGGTCGCAGAGAACTGTGGCCTGAGGGCAGAGCGGGGATGGACAGGGCATGGGGATGGGAGCAAGGAGCTTCCAGAAGCTTCCACATCTCTCCTTGGTCCCTACTGACTGTGGGAACCTGGTCAAATCCTGCCCTAGTGAAACCTCGCGTCGTGGAAGGGGTAAGCTACTACCGAGACCTGGGAACTGAGATGGCCTATCCCCTGCTGCCCTGCCCTGGCTCTGGGCCTTGATCTCCCCAGATATACTGTGTGTCTAGGAGGATGAGGGTGGGGGACCCAGTAATGAGGGACAGTTATGGTCAAGTTTGGTGGTGAGAGGTTTGTTGCAGCTGCTGAGGTGTGGAAAAGTGAGGGAATCCCCATACAATGACCCTGTGACCCAGCACTTACCACCCCAAAGATGCCAATCCCAGAGCCAATGGTGGTCATTGTGGGGATGATGTCAAACTTCCCAGCCTGGTGGCAAGGTCAGGAAAGACAAGGGGTAACAGTCAGAAGGACGCTGGTGGCAGGGCTTCCTTAGAAGCCACGGGCTTCTCCACCCTCCAACAATAGCTGCCCGCACAGTCTACGCTCCACAGCTTTGGCTCTGCCTGGGAACCCAGCTGCTGTCCAGACACTCTGGGCTTTGACTCTGGGCTCTGCCTCCCTGGGTATAGGGAGATGGCAGGGGAGGTGTGGAAGCCCTGCCCTCAAAGGTACCCACGCGCATCAGTTATTAGGAGCAGAATTCCTGTCTCTGTCACTATAGATGACAACAGGACACTCACAGGAACCAAAACAGTGCTTCTGGCTCCCCTTCACACTGGACGCTCACCTTGCCATCCACGAGAATGTCAAAACGAATCCCAAACACCTTGAAAAGATGCCTGTGGTTGGTCCCATTCTCCACGAAGTGCCTGGCAAACCTTGGGGAAGGTGACATTGCAGGAGAGGGGGATGAAAAACAGTCCTGGCACAGAGCGCCAGAGATCAGGAGCCCTTGGGAGCCCCATGCCCCCCAGCATTATATAGTGGGGAGTCCTAGGCAGGACCCTGGACCTCATTCCAGCAATGCTATAGTCAACCTTTACCCTAACCCTGATGTCACCCCCTTCCTGGTGTGCCCAGACGGGGACAGGTGGCATCCAGGGCACTGAGCTGGGGCAGACACTCAGGCCTCCGAGCTCTGGTTTCCTGCTGGCTCCCTGCTTGACCATTCCCAGGAGGACAGAAGCTTCCCAGGCCCCTCTGTGCCCCTCCATCCCCAGGAACACTTGACCCCAAGTGGCTCTAGGAGGAGAAAAGCCCAAAGCACCCCTAGAAAGGATACATAGCTGGGTCTTGCAAATACCTGAAATTGAAGCCTCGAGAAAAACTTTTCTCCTCATGAAGTCCATGGAACTCATAGATAGGTTTGCAGTGGTGCACATGCCAGTCCAGATCACAGTTCCAGTCAATGGTGATGCCCACCACCCCGCCCTATCAGGACAGGCTTTAAGATACAGGGTTCAGGATCCAGAAATTCCAGTCACACAGCAATCTCTCTCTCTCTCTCTTTTTAAAGGTTTATTTACTTATGCATAGAAGACCTGGGATATAGGCCAGAGGTTCAGGGGGTGAGAGGCTTCACCAGAGACAGAGTGGGGAGCAGAACAGGCAGGTGTTGTGAAGTACACTGCTGAGGGGAGCAGCAGGCGGGACAGGAGAGGTCTGCCACGCCATGTGGGTCACCTCCAGGGCTGGGTATAGAACTCATGCTACAGTGGCTGCGGACAGTTTCATAGTGCTGCACTTTCACCCCATGTGCCAAAGGGAGAGCCCCATGCAGCAATCTCTTGATGAGGGAACATTGTTTGAGAAGAGATTCTGAGACGCTGCTTCAAGGTGGTGGGCTGGTCACCTCACTGGCCTCACTTCCTGCCCATCATATACCATCTTTCTGAATATTTCTAGAAAACACCAAGTTCTTCCTACCTCAGGGCCTTTGCACATGCAGTGGCCTATTCACACAAGGTTAGTTCTTTTTCATCCGTTGGTTACTTCCCCTGAGAGACTAGCCTGACCACTACCCCCAATCTAAAGTAGGCCCCCTTTATTTCTTCCTATTGTTCTCTGTTTTCTTTGGGGATATTTGTCACACTGCAGGGATATTTCTTTTGTGGTCATTTGTTAACCCATTTCCTCTAAGACTATGAGCTCCTTAAGGGGTGGGATTATCTGTCTCATTTGTCACAGACACCTTAGTTCCATCTCCTGTTACAGTTTGGGAGACAAGAAAATAGGGTTGAATTAAAGAGTCTGTAAAGACAAGGCCTGGGAAAAGAAAACTCAGGCAAGCAAAAAACTGTGGGTAAGGCAAGGGACAGGGGCAGGTGGGATGGGCTGAGCCATGTAAGAGTTGGGAGGTGGTCAGAACAGCTGCAGAGCTGGGGAACTAGTGGGGAGACTAGACCTGTCAATGAGGGTGATTCGTGAGGTGTTCCCAGTGTGGGTGGCCAGGAGAGTTTTAGGAACAGGGAGCTCTCACTTCAGCTTTTGGTCTGGTGTGCTGTGTCAATCCCCTCTGGAGCCAGCGGGTCAGATGTGTTTATATGCTGTCTGTAGCTGCTTTGCCCTCCAACAGTCGACTGGAGGAGTTAGAAGAGAGACCATATAATCTCCCAAATGGAAAATATTTACTTTCTGGCCCTGGAAGGAAAAGTTTGCCGATCCTTGCTCTGAACAAATGTGTTGTGAGTTTTTGCTATGACAGTGACACCTATCTATCCTTGATAGGTGGCTGCAGGAGCAAGGTAAGGAGGAGGAGCCTGCCAAGAACCACCTGCAGAGGGCTGCGGGGTGCAGGCTGTACTGAAATGTGTCCCATGCCTGAGCTCACTTGGTCCTCAAGACAACCCCACAGAGGGCCATTACTATTGCCACCCACCCACCCTTTACAGTACAAAAGCTCAGATGTAGCAAAGAGGCAGAGCTGGGGTTTGAATCCAGACCCATGCTCCTTGCAAGGTACTGCTTCTTTTGGAACCCAGATGACAGGGGATCTTAGCCTCTGGGGTGCCCTGGCATCCTGAGCAGAGAAGAGGATTTCCCAGGGTCATGGGTTATAGGATTCAAGCTGTTCTTATCTAATATTAAAAAAAAAAAAAATCTGCCCTCCCTGGTGGCACAGTGGGTTAAAGCATAGCACTAGGAGGCTAAAGCCACTTCAGCATGAGTTCGATCCCCGCCTGCCCTGGAGGTGACCCACATGGCGTGGCAGAACCTCTCCTGACCTGCCCGCTGCTCCCCTCAGCAGTATACTTCGACAATCTTCCTGTTCTGCTCCCCTCTCTGTCTCTGGTAAATCCTCTCACCGCCCCTGCACCTCTGGCCTGTACCCCAGTTCTGTATGCACAAATAAATAAATCTTAAAAAAAAATCAGGACCCCAGCAGATGTCCATTCATTCCAGCCTGTTAGGTCCATGCCAGGCTCTGCTGAGGACACAGGCTTGACCTTCAGGGTCCCCAGCGTTCAGGGATAGAGCCACATATGCACACACACTTGACCCACACCACGGAGGTTTGGGGGAGAGGGGGCTGGTTGGGTCTGCAAAACCTTCCCTGGCCTGACGGCCCTTGGCTAGCCCTCCCCACTAGCTTCGCATCTTACCTTCTCAGCCAAAGTGCTGAAATTTTGGCCTGACTCTTGTACCACGTAGCCAAGCCTGAAGACAGGGCACAGCGGGTGCAAGGTCTTATGGTAAAGACAGGTCTTCATGTAGTTGGCATCCACCTCCTCCACCAGGTTGCGCCTGCGGGGGCAGAGGGCATTGGCAGGAGCATGCCAGCTGGGAAGGCGCCCACCATGCCCCAAAGCTTCGGGGACCCCTCGCGGGCTCCAGGAATGCCCTTCCACAGGCCCTGGAGACTGAAGGACGTCCACCCCAGGCCCCCCCGGGATCTCCCTCCAGAGTGACATCACAGGACTGGAGGGCGGCAGACAGTGGAAGCCAGAGGAGTGGCCTCGGGAGCTGCCTGCATTTCTGCCCACGTTTCTCACCAACCTGTTGACCTTGAAGCGTGGAAAACTGATGCTGTTCTTGATGAAGAGAGTGAAGTTCTCGGCCTCTTGGAGAAGGGCAGGGCTAAGGGAGACCACACTCACTCACCACCCCTCCTGGGAGTCACCTGCCAGAGTAGCTGTGTGCCCACCAGAGCATCACACAGTGTACGTGGGGGTGGAAGAAGCTGGGGTCGCCTGCAGCCTTGGGTCAGAGGAAGAGTGGGCGCACTGTAACGGGCTCTCAGCCCCCTGGCTTGACCAGGAACCAGGAGGAATCTTGGTGAAGGTGAGGTCAGAACAGGGGCAACAGGTCCCACCCAGAGCAATGCCCAGATGCCCCTCTGTCTGGCCGGGGAGCCTGTTGTGGGCCCCCTGGAAGGACGGGGCGTTACCGCGGGATGTGGTCGTCCACCTCCACTGGACACCAGCCGAAGATCTCACACGTCTGCACGGTGGCGTTGAAGGCCACACACTTGCCGGTGCGGATCCCTGGAGTAAGGGAGGAACCCCTGGGTGCCCAGTGCAAGTTTGGGGTGCAGAGGAAGCCCCCCAGATCCCACCCTGGGAGCTGACAGTGATGGGGCACCTAAGAGAAGGCTGTGGACAGAGATGGGATGGGCAGCCAATCCCTGGAGCAAGGGAGGAACCCTTGGGTGCCCAGTGCAAGTTTGGGGTGTAGAGGAAGCCCCCCAGATCCCACCCTAGGAGCTCCCAGTGATGGGGCACCTAAGAGAAGGCTGTGGACAGAGATGTGACAAGGTCTGGGGTGGGCGGCCGAGGTCAGGGCAGCAGGAGGGGCCTCCTGGGGGGGAGCCTGGAGCTAACAGGGGCTCGAGAGGGGCAGGAGGAGGTGGCCTCACCTTGGGCCTTCCTTTCTGCCTTTCCCGGGGTGCAGCTGCTGTCATTTGAGCACGTGCCCCCTTCCGGGTTCTGGGGGGAGGGGAGAGCTGCTGGGTGGGGTTCTGAGGAAAGTCCTTTCCACCCCAGGCTGCGGGGCAGAGTCTCAGACCCCTTTGGGGTGGCCTTGCTCATTGCCTCCTTCCCCAGTGTCGCCCAACCGCCCTCCCCGGCCTCCTGGCTTATGCTCCAGCTGCCCACTGCCAGTGACAGCTGATGAGGTGGAACGTGGAGGGCTGCAGTTGTAGGGTCCCGAGGCTCAGCACCCAGCTGGCACAGCCGGAGGAAAGGCTGAGCACTGCCAGAGGGGGGCCGACACTTGTGGGGCTCCACGCCTGAAATCCACCACTGTGGTCCCACAAGAAGTCTACCCAGTTTCACCTCCAACGCACATGGGAACCTCCTCTCCCGGGGGTCCCAGAAAGGGAGGGCGGGCAAGAGTCCTCACCTCTCCGCAGTGACCTTGGACCTGTTGGGGGGTCGCGATGAAATTGGTCATGACCACGAAGGAACTGTCCCCCTGGAAGTGAGGGGGCAGGGCTTTGAGCTGGAAGAACAGCTCTGAGAACCCAAACACTGGGGCAGCAGGACCCTAGAACCCACAAGACGCTCCCCACCTCATGATGTCAGTGTGGAAACTAGGGCCCAGAAACACATGGGAGCTGGAGGACCTCTCTAGCCCACAAAAAGGTGAACAGAGCCCAACCCCACCCTGAACCAGGCCCTGTGGGCGGGAGGTGCCCCACCCCCACCCCTAGTCAGCTCACCTGGGCTGGGAAGACATAGTCAGCCACGTCCCAGACCTGGGAGCCCAGGCCCGGGAGCTGCGTCACTGCCAGACCCTTGAGCTTCACAGACACGCTGCTGATGAGGCCACTCGAGGTCTGGTAGCCCTTCTCAAAGACAAACACCCACCTGTGGGGTGGGGGCACAGGAGCTATTCAAGGGTGGCCCCAGCTGGTCAGGCCTTCCCCTCCCCCCTCCCCCCAGATGCATCTATGATGGCTCTCCACACCTAAGGCTATATATTGGGTTGCAGGGCAGAGAGCCCCTCGCAAACCACTCCCACGCCCCCCGCCTGCCTGTGCCTGAACCTTAGACCCACTGAACCTGCTGGGGGGTCATGATGAAATTGGTCATCACCACAGAGCTGTCCCCCTGAAGTGAGGGGTGGAGGGGACAGGGCTTTGAGCTGGGACCACAGCTCTGAGAGCCCATTCTCTTCACTTTGAAAAGATGATTCCCCAGGAAGGACACCCACTCAAGGATCCTTTCTGATCCTTTTCGAAAGAGCAGGACTTTCCAGGCCCCACAGGCCCAGCTGCTCGGACCCCAGCCCTCACTCCCGGGGCTCCTTCCTTCCTCCCTGAGTTCCTGCCTCCCAGAAACAGCAGCGAGCCTGGCCGAGCGCTTGGTCTCAATAGCTTGGGTTTGAATCCAGCTCCACTACTCACAGCTGTGTGACTCTGGGTGAGCTATTCAAGCCCTTCTGTGTGCCTCGGCCTTCTCCTCCCTAAAATGGGGATGATGACCATGGGTACCTGCGTGTGCAGTGAGTTGATGCAGGTTAAGGCACTTAAATGGGAACTGGCTGGGAGTCAGTGCGTTAGCAACATCAGCTATTACTATCTCAGCCATGCTGGAGTTTCTGGGAAGGGGGACTAGAAGGGGAAGAGGTGGCCAGCAGCCCCTGAAAGACCCACAGCTCCAGGCCTTGAGGCCCTGTGGGAGGGGTTCAGAATGAAGCTTCAAGAAGTCCCCTTCCTTTGGGGGTCTCTGTGCAAGCCGCCTCCCTGCAAGTCTAAGCAAGGTCACTGCTGCCCCCTGCAGGTCCCAAATGGCAACAGTTGAAGCCTGACAAAGGCCCCCCCCTCCCATTGCTTGCTCCAGGGGCCCCAACAGGAGGAGGGGCACCACCATATCGCCACCCGCCTTCCTTCGTTCCCAAATCCTGGAAGGCCTCTGGCTTCACACCCACGCTCGAAGGAGCGTCGAGAATGTGATGGAGGAGCTGTTCCGCGCTCTAACACCCCTCCCTCCTCCGTGGGAAAGCCCCACTGACTTCCCTTTTGGGACCCCATCCTTGCCATCCCAGCAGCATTTCACTCTTTGTCCCATGCCAGCTCCTCACTATGTAGATGGGAAATCTGAGTTCTGGGTCAGCAGAGCCCAGGGCACGCCCCCTCTGAGCAGCCCAGCGTCTGCATGTCTGCGGGGAGCCCAGGGCAAAGGGCAGCAGAGCTCACAGGCAGTGCTCTGGGCCCACTCGGCCTCTCTGGGAGACGCTGCCCTCGTGTGCTGTCAGTCTGGGGTCACAGAGGAAAGTCAAGTACAGCATCTTTGACCTTTGCCTTAACAATAGAATAGCTGTGTCACAAGGCCCATCCCTCCAAGGTCATATTTGCCTTGACCTGACCTTGCAGTCGCTACCTTGCAGTCACCATGGGAACCTGAAGCCAAACTCATTGGCATCTTCAGCAGTCCCTCTCCTTCCAGAAATTCACTTTTCTATTCCTTCCCCCATATCCTTGGCAATACCCCACCCTAAGTCTCTCCTTCATTCCCCGCTCAGAGAAGAGTCCACGTGGTGGGGAGGGCAAGGGTCACAGATGCCAGGGTTTAGGGACCAGCAAGGCCCCTCACCCTCTAGGTGGCTGCTCCAGCTTCCTCAGTAACGAAGTTAATGGCACCAACCTCAAGGACGCTGCTAGTTCAACAACGATCAGCAAGGCACACCAGTGCCATCAGCCGGGGACAAAACCCAGGGAGCAGCAGGCCTAGGTGATGGTCTGGGATGGGGGGGGAGTCCCATGAGTTCTCTTTAAGAAAAACAAGCACAGGGCCCTCCCTGGTGGTGCAGCAGGTTGGTGCTGGGTGAAGCTCAGCCAAGCCTTGGCGCTTCAGTGCGAGTTTGAACCCCACCCTGGAGGTGACCCACATGGCGTGGCAGACCTCTCCTGACCCGCCTGCTGCTCCTCTCAGCAGTGTATTTTGTCGATCTGCCTGTTCTGCTCCCCACTCAGTCTCTGGTGAATCCTCTCACCGTCCCTGCATGTCTGGTCTGTACCCCATTTCTGTATGCATAAATGAGTAAAATCTTTAAAAACAAACAAGCAAACAAACAAACAAAAATGAACACAATGCCTGGCATTCAGTGGGCACCTCCTAAATAAAACCTGCACTAAAAAAATGAAACCTACTCACTGTCTCTACTCCCCTTCACGAATCTCTCTGTCGATGTCCATGGGGTCACGCATACGAGTTACTGTGTCCCCCGATTCTTCTTCTCCTCACTCTGCCCCAAGACTCAACACCTGTGTATTTAGTTATTCAACACTTTTTCTGTATTGACCCCTACCATGTGCCAAATCCTGGTCAAAGCACTAAAAACACAGACGTGAACTCAACAAACAAAAATTTTGCACTCCAGGGACATACATCAATCAAACGGTTCTATAAATGTCAACTCCCACTGCTAGTGACATGCGCGCCCTCCCCTGTCCAAGCTCCCCCTCCCCCAGGCACCTTACAGCTACCTCCAACTCAACTCTACCCTTTAGAAAACAGCTTGGCAATTCCTCAGAAAGTCCAACATGGAATTACCACTTGACCCAGCAATTCTGCTCTTCAGTGCAAACATAAGTCGCCTAATAAGGGGGTTATGTTCTATGAAATGCACCAACCACTAGGCGATTTTGTTAATGTGCATTCAGCAGGGAGTGTGATTACACAAAGCTAGGTGACTTAGCCTGCTGCACACTAGGGCGAGTGGTACAGGCATGTAGGAACCACTGCCACATAGGTGGTCTGCCACTGCCCAAAGCACCACTAAGCAACACATGACCGCATATATCCACGAGTCCATGCACAGAAAAGTATACACCAGTGCTCACAGCAGCATTATGCATGGAAGGCAGAAAGTGGAAGTAATGTCCATCAGCTGACAAGTGGATAAACCTAAATGTGGTCTAGCTTTGCCATGAAATAGTAAGCAGCCATAAAAAGGATGAAATACTGATCCATGCTGCAACCAACACGGACATGAAAGAGGTGAAAGAAGCCTGACATAAAGGTCTATGTATTCTTTCATTTGATTTATATGAAGTTTCCAGAAGAGGCAAACTAGGGTGTGGGGACAGGGTGAGGGGTGTGGAAAGAAAGTCAAGGGATACTGAGTTTCTTTTTGGAACAGTGAGAATGTCCCTGAATTAGATGGGGCACAATTTATGATAATCCTAAAAAAATCACTGAGTTGTATTGAATCTTTTGAAAGGGTAACGTCATAGCATGAACAATATCTCAAAACAAAAACTCAACTGGCTTAATCTGAAGGCCTCATCTCCCCACAGAACCTGCTCCTCTAGAGCCAACCCTCTTATGCCAGGCTTAGAGTCGGTATCATCCCCACGCCCTCCATTTCCATCACACCCACATTCTTTGGGTCCCCCGTCCTTCCCACCCCCACCCCCACTTCCATGTAAGGACCCAGCAGATTCTCCGTGTGGCAGCTGAGAGGCGAAAGGAACTAGGCAGATGGGGTCAGCTCTGGCACGGGGCTGGGAGGACAGGCCCTGTGGCTTGTGAGGCGCAGGCTGAAGCCACAGCCGCAGGCAGGACCCCCCACGGCAGGGTTATGGGTGAGGCAGAGCAGCCCTGGGGAGTGGCAGCGCAGACTCCGGCCTGGGAAGGACAGTTCCGGGCTGGGGCTCACCCTGAGACAGCAGGCGACAGTACTCACAGTCTACGAGCAAGCCCAGCGGACAGTTTGTGTCCTTAAATTTTTTGGATGAGTCACCAGCCTCTCACACCAAGAGTTTCCTTTTACCATGAATTCAACTTTCCAGCTTCTCCTGAAAACTCAGAAACTGGGCACGGTGCACGCATGTCCTCTGGCGGTGCGGGGACGGGCAGAGCTGAGAGGCAGCTTCCCCAGCTCTGGGTCAGCCAGGGGTGGCTTCCATGCTTGGCACGGCCTCGTCCTCTCCATTCATCACGGCCTCGTCCTCTCCATTCATTACCACAGTCGTCCTGCCTCTGCCTGCCCGCTCCAGGCCTCCCCCTGCGAGGCAGCTACATGGCTCCCCACCGCCTGCAGGAGAAGCCCATGTGGCATCAGAAGCATTTAGAAGCCTGAGCAAGTGGCTCCGTTCATGCTGTCCCAGCCAAGCCCCAGTGACTCTGTCACTGTTTCTTTCCTACCCCGGGACCTTTGATCACAGTCCGCTTTCCAGCAGAAATGCCAGGATAAGAGTGGGCACACAATTAGGTTCCACCCATCAGAACAATCCATCTCCTTGGCTACACCAATTGGATCTGTTATAGACACATGACCCAGCCCCGGACACTAAGAGTCGGACCTGGGGATTCGCCGGAATCCTGGAGGCGGAGATACTTTTATGCCACAGGAATGGTAAAACAAGTATGGTACCAGCCTGGAGATGCTGGTGGCTATTTTGCCACTTCAAGGACAGAGCCTGTCTGAGAATGAAATCCCCACCGGGAAACAGAGCCAAACAGAGGAGACAGGGACTCCCTGGTGATGTAAGGGGTTATGTCACAACACTGTGAAGCTATCCGCAGCCACTGAAGCACGAGTTCAATCCCCGGCCAGGGAGCTGACCCACATGGCATGACAGACCTCTCCTGGCCCGCCTGCTGTTCCTCTCAGCAGAGTATTTTAGCCAGTCTGCCTATTCTGCTCCCCATTCTGTTTCTGGTAAATCCTCTCACTCCCATCCTGTACTTCTGGTCTATACTCCAGCGTTTGTATGCATAAATAAATAAATTGATTAAAATTATCTTAAAAAAAAAAATAGAGGCGGCAGATCCTGGCTGGCTTCATCAGGGAAACTAAATGGACTTACCAGAACTCGTCTCCTCATAAAACTTTCTCCTCTCCATGGAGGATCCAGCCAGGCCTGAAGCCTGCGTTGGCTTTTTTTTGGCTACATAAAACCATCAGTGGCCCCACTTGCCCTTCCAAAGGCATTTCGGCTAAATCACCCTATGCTCCTCCCTCACCATCTGTCTCACAGAGCCTGACATAGCACAGATGCTATAGCAGCAACCCAGCACTAATCCCTATCTAGGCCCCATCCGTGTGCTCAGGCTCAATTCAGAGCTTTCCAAAGCATGTTCTTTTGAGGGTTCTGCGTGGGGAACCAGGCAAAGGGTGAGAGAGGAGATGAGAAGAGGGCATGGGAAAGGCCAAGAGCCGAGCTGTCTGGCCCACAGCTCTGGGCCCTTGCACAAGGCTGCGTCCTCGCTGCCTCTTCCCCCAAGAACCCCCAGGCTCCCCTCCCCAAGCAGCTTTCACAGATCACCTTGGGTCCTCCTGTGTGCCACAGCCAGATCACCTTTCTCCTGCCCGCCGCCTGCCCCCCAATGCCTCCAGGCACGGACATGTCCCAACATACCCCTTGTGTGGGCCTACTTGGGGGGACATGGCAAGCTGCTGCCCTCCTCCATCACTGCAAATTCACCATCAGCCCAGGAAAGCGATGTCCTATCTCTGACCACCGGGACCTGCCGCTCCCTGCTACTGGCCTGCCTGTTACTCTTCCTGAAAGAGTGTGACCAGCGGAGGCCACGGCCTCAGTTTCCCTTCTTGGAGTCTGTCCAGGTTCTCAGCATCTCTCTCTCTGCCTCTGTCTCTGTAACTCTCTCGCCATCCCTGAGTCTATCTGAGTGGCTGTTCCCACGCCTGCTGCGCCCGGTTGGTAAAAAATTGGGAAACAGGCCTGAGATGCTGAAACCAAACCCAGGCTTGGACCTTCCGCGGCCGGCTCCAGGATGAGCGGCTGGTGCAGCGAGGGCTGTGGGCAGCGGAGGGCGCCAGAGACAGCAGGAACGCAGCGCCAGCCGCTGGGAGGGAGCTTGGTCCTTGGCTTGGGGGCAGCACTGGGGGGTGTTGCCAGGGCCCACGTCTTCCTCCATCTGCTAAGTGTCTTTGGCAGGTCAGAGTCCATCTCTGGGGGCTGCTTCCTTTCTAGGATATTAAGGGCGACTTCGGAGATGTGCTGCTGGATTCAAGTCCTGGATGAGCCTCTTAACTAGCTGTGAGAGCCTGACTACAGCACTCAGACTCTCTGAGAACAGACGCCTGCATCTACTTGGGAAACTGGGGAGACCATCTTGGTTGAGGGAAGGAAGGAAGGTGACAGGTAGTGAGGTCCCTTTCGCTGGAGGACTGTGTTCAGACAGCCACTTGGGGTGTTTGCTGCAGCTAGGAGGGGCTGAGACGGTCCTTTCCCTCTGACAGTCGGTGACTGAGCCTGAATGGGGTCCTGGGAACCTCTGGGTTCTAGGAGCCCTCTGCAGGGCCCTGGCACCACCCTAGTGAGGACATGGAAACAGACTTAGGGAGCCAGAGGCGCCGCAGTGAGGATAACGGTCTCACATCAGGCAAGCGCCGGGCTGGGCCCCTCTGCCCAGGAGGGTCAGGAGTTTGGCTAACGGTGGGACAAAGGCCATTTGTGATGTGAGACCCCAGGAGGACCAGAGCAACGTGGTCACCGTTTGGCCTCCTGGTCAGCAACCCCCCAGGCCAGGCAGCAGTCCTGATGTAGCCCCTTGGCAAAAATAAGGACTTGGAGACTAAAGGGGCAAGTCACACACCAAAGACAGCCTAGGGCTGCTGGGGGCTCCCAGGACCCCGGCAGGGATGGGGCCCCTTTTAGTGGCCCCCCAGAAGTCACTCTGAGTGGACATGAGGGCCACACACATCAGACACCCCAGCACCTCAGCCACGGGCATGCACACATGGCACCAGCCCACTGAGCACACACCCAGACACATCAGCACACACGCTCACAGGTGCTCCACCCACCACACGTGTGTGCCCCCAGAAACATGCGTGTGCAAGCTCATACCAGGCCTGTGTTGGCTCCCAGGACAGCTCACTGCCAGGGGGAGCCGAACTTACTTCTGACCCTGCAATACTGGGACAGTGGGTTGGGTCCCCAGATGCCCAGGAGTTGCTGCTGCTGTCTGGGGACCAGAGCTGTCCCTCCAACGGTTGCCCAGAGGCCCGATGGCCCCTGGAGGTCTGCATTGGAGGGTCTCTGCTCCAGTGGCTCAAATACCCCAGGGTGCTTCAAGTTTAGGTAGGCAGGCAGGACCAGGGCCTGTTCCTTCCTCTCTATGAAGTGGGCCTGTAAAGTGGGGTACAGCCATGCCTCTTAGCAGTGGCCTGGTTTGGCTGGGAGGTCCAAGGTAGAAGGGAAGAGCCCAGCTCCCAGGAAACAGTCACCAGCGAGTCTATCTCTCAAAACCAGCAGCTCTGCCTCTCCTTGGCCATAGGATCCAGGATAGGAGCGCCCTGCTCTGCCCCGGTGCCCCCCTCCCTGGCAGTGAGCAAGCAGGTCCATTCTGTCTCAATAGCACTGTGGCTTGTCAGGAAGGGTGACAACCAGTGGAGACAAAGAGGGGCTCGTGGGGGACAATGAGGACATCACAGACCTGCAGGTTGGGGCTGATACACGAGGGGGCAGAGGGGGCCCGACTCACCCGATGATGTAGACCAGCACCACGAGCTGGATCACACGGAAGATGATGCCCACCTTCCTGTTGCGTACCAGCACCATACGGGGCGTGTCGTACTCAAAGAAGAAGGCGGCCAGTTCATCCCGGAGCCGCCGTGCCATGGTGGCCAGGTTGGGGATGGAGGCCCGAGCCCCTGCGCTGCCGAGGATGGCTGGGTGTCAACACCCACACTTTTGCTTCTAGAGACTTCCAGTCCCTTAAGAAGGGCAGAGCGGAGCAGAAGGGGCCAGAGTCAGGAGTCACCTGGAGGCTCTTGGGTGGGGAGAATCCTTGGGTGGTCAGAGCAGTGCTTGGCCCTTGGCAGGCAATGGACTGTGGGCCAGCAGCGTCTGTGAAGGAATAAATTCCCAAAGATAGCTGGGGGCGGGGCCGGTGGGGCCCGACCCACTGCCCCTCCTGGCTCCGCCTGGGCCCCCACTGGGCCTCCGGAAGCAAGAGCTGTTGGCAGGAAACCACTGGCCACCCATCACTATGCAAAGATAAAGCCTTGAGGGCCCCCCAAAACCTGGCACAACAGTACTGAGGACTTAGCCCAGGGCCTGGGCAGAGTGACCTCAGGCCGGAGCCCCCCTCAAACTAGGGACCCATCCCCTGGTATGAAGAGGTAGAGGTTGGAGGTGGAGGCTGGGTGTCCTCAGCACCCCCACATCCTGGCCTGTCCATGCTGCCCCAGGCTGCCTCAGGCTGTCCCCCACACTCGCCACACCCTACCACTATTCCCAGGTGGGGAGCTTAGGACAGGACCCCACCCCTCGCAGGTCACCCTCCATCCACCTGTCCTTCGAGTCCAAGCCTGGCCCGTGCCAGGTCAGCCTCAGCACCTCTCCTCTCCCACAGTCTGCCTGTGTAGCCGTGCCCCCTCCCTGAGCACAGAGAGGCAGATAAGGCAAGGGCCACATCCCAGCATGTCCCGTGGGTCTCCCTGAGACCCCGCAGCCAGCCTGGATTAAGACCCCTGGCGCCGCCCCTTCCAGCCGCTGAGGTTGGTGGCCTTACCTACCGGAGCCTGCGTCCTCCACTGGGAAAGGGCACGGGAACTTCCCCCTGGCAAAGGCCTTGAAAGAACGGTCCTGACAGAGCTGAGGATGGAGAAGGAGAAGGCCCCTATGCAGCTAGGGGGCCCAAACTTACCTGCCACTTCAACCCAGACTCCAACCCGGGCCCCCCGGGGTTGGGGTGGGGCTCGTGCCCTGATAAACTCTCTGGCCTCAGAGCTGGAGGCCCCCCCCCCCCCATTGCTTGAGGATGAAAGAGCTGGAGCTCAGAGAGGGGAAGGAATTGAGAGCTCATGGACCAGCCCTCCTTGCCTGCTAGGTCGGTGTCCTTGTCCTCTGGCCTAGGCTCCTCCTGCCTCCAAGTCGGAGGCAGAGGTAAGAGGTAGAGAGAGGGCAAGTGATCTCCAGCCCCACACCCCGCCCCATCAAAGCTGCCCCCTGCTGACAGCTGCTGGGAGTCTTCTTCAGGGCAAGCCTTTCACTGGGAAACTGCCCTGGCGGGGAGCCCACCCGGCAGGGAATCCCAGCTGCCTGTCTGAGCAAGCTGCTCTGTGGACAGCAAGAAGTCCCCACAGAGTAGGCTCATGGCCCTTTCCTGCCCCCCAGGCCAATCGCTGGGGTCAACAACCAATCCCTGTCAAACACATCAGCCACACAGCACAGAGTTCCTGCGGATCTCAGGCTCAACTGTCTGTCTGACGCCACCTTCAAGAGGGGCTGACAAGGACGTCATGGGTTCTTCTCGGGAATAACCCAGAGATCCTGGGAGTCAGTGCTGTGGCCACCACATCCCCTCAGCCCTATCTTGACCCTAGACAACAGGGCTTGCCCCCGCCCAGCCGACCCACTGCCCTTGGAGTATAGCCCGGGGACATGACCTGCTTGCAATGGCGCGGTGTGGGTGCTGCAGCTGTGTCCACGTCTCTGTCCCAGTCTCTGTCCCACGCCTCCTCCCCCACCACAGGCAGAAGGCACTAAGGAGGAGGGCTGGAGGGAGGAGTGAGGAGGAGAGAGCAAGGAAGGAGGGGGAGGAAGGAAGAGGGAAGGCGGGAAGGAAGTCATTCTCCATCTGCATCTGTCCCTTTCACATTATCACCATATCCTCTTTCTCCTGCAAGGGGCCAGGCTTGCCGATGGACACATGGACCAATGGACAGACCGACTTGGAGCTCCTGTTACAGCTCAGTTCTTACCCTGGCACCTGGTAGACTGGCATGGGGGAACATCTCATTGAAGGGTGTTATCATATGCAAAGTGTGCCCAAAGCAATTACATCTCTCTCATCCCAAAGTTTTCTTCTTGCAAATAACTCTGCAAGCGTAAGACAGGCAGGTCAGTGCCTCTGTCTGTATTTCTAAAGTGCACCTTTCCGACCTGAGGCTGTGCTTTTCCCAGGATCTCTGGGTTATTCCCGAGAAGAACCCATGACGTCCTTGTCAGCCCCTCTTGACTCCAACACCTGTAGACCCAGAAGCCTTGTGTTCATTCTGGGTGTGGGGGCGGTGAGGCAAGGGAAGGGTCAGAGCTATGGGGGAACACGGTTCCCACACTGGCATTCAGCAGGTTTTCCTTACACTCGCCACATGAAATAAGTACTAGAACTCCCATTTTACAGATAAGGAAACTGAGGCCCAGGAAGTTGTTGAAGGTCACTTGGTAAGAAGCCCCTACGTCTGCTGGTGGCCAGGAAGGAGACTCTCCAAATTCTGAGCAGTTGGCCCCGAGCCCACCTCAAGACTCCAGCATTCAAAGCTGTCAGGCCTGCCTTATAAGCCCAAAGGCCGGGTGGCCGGCTTGGGTACCAGGCCGGGCCTTGTAGGGAGACAAGCGAGGCTGCCAAGCGCTCAACCCCTGGATAGCCTCCCCTGCCGGGCTAAATTTAGCATCTCTGTGAGCTTGGAGGGGGTCCATACCCATCCTGGAGGCCAGCCCGGGCCCTCGAGGGGGTCAGCACAGGCCCTCGAGGGGGTCAGCACAGGCCCCAGTGGGTCTCCTCAGCTGCTCCGGGTCCCAGGTTACAGGGGCCACGACCGCCTGCTGAGGAGCTGGTATGACACCAACCCCCACAGCCTCTGGGTCTGCCTGGGTGCCAGGGACCCACCCAACGCCACACCACCCTCAGGTGCCACCAGGCCAGGGCTGCAGGTCAGTCTGAGATTGCCGAGGGGAGGCGGCCTCTCTGGGGTCCGTTCTGACTTCTCCATTGTCTACACCCAGCCCTGCTCTGCTGGCTGCCTCGACCACCCAGCCCCCCACTGGGCTGTACCCTGCTGCAGCGCCCACTCCAGAGTGCCCTCCCCTGCCCTTTGTCCTCCATCTTTTTGGGTCATTTCCTCTTAACCCCCGGCCACTTTCTGCCCCGGGAACGTGGGTTTCCGCAGGCTGGCGAGGCACCTTCTCCTCATCACGGGCACCCACTGGCCATCCTGCCCGCCCACCACACACCCACCGCCCGCCCGCCCGCCCACTCCTCTCTTCACCCTTTCTTTTCTTTTAAATCGGACTGTGTTGAGGTATAATTTATTTACAGTCGAACGTACCCATCTGAGGCAGTTTGATGAGCTTTGACAGGCACTCGCCTCCCCCCCACATCTGTTCCCCTAGAACATTCCCTTCTGCCCTCGGGGGGCCCCCCCAGCCCCAGGCAGTCACTCATCAGCTGTCATTACAGACTTGTTTTGCCTTCGCTAGAACTTCACCTTCAGGGAGGTGTTGCAGCACCGTGTAAGTTCCTTTGGGGTCTGGTTTCTTTGACTCAGCACAGCCGTTTAAGCGCATTGCTGCAATAAGGCTGGTTGGTGCCTTTGATGGCTGAAGCATATCCCACTGCGTGGCCTTAGCACCACGTGTTAGGGCCTCTCCTGCTGGTGGACAGCGGGCTGTTCTCGCTCTGGGACTAGCATGAACAGAATGGCCACCGGTACGGGTCTGGGGCTTTGTGTGGGCCCTAGCCTTCGTTTTCTGGCTTTGCCCCTCCATTTCTCTCCGTACAGCCCCCTCAGGGCTTCCCCTACCCTGAGAGGTGCCGCCCGGGGTGCATGGAGCACAGAGTCCAGTCACTGGAGGGGTGATGGGAGGCCCGCGGCGTTCTGGCAGCTGCCTTTGCCTGGCCGGTGAGAAGTGTGCCGGGGCCTGCCCTGGAATTCCCTCCTGGGCTAGCGGCTGTGAGGTAGGAGACCTCTGTTTACCTTGGCCGCCCCATCTTGCCCTGTCAGGCTCCATGCTGCGGGCTGGACAAGGCCGGACTTGGGCCGGGCTGGTTGGGGGTGGAGGCAAAGCGGGTCTAGCCCTTGGCCTCCAGCAGCTGCTGGGACTTCTGGGGCCGCCGCCTGCTTCCCGTGCCAGCCCCCAGGCCCATCTTATCTCCTGCCCAGCCTGTCCACTGTGACAGGCTAGCTAGATGATCAGATTCTTAGAGGCCTTGGGTTCCTTGCCTACAAAATGGAGCCCTGCCAGGCCCACCTCACGGGGCAGGTTGAGGAATCAGGGGATGAGAGCAGGAAAATGAAAACATTTGTATCTGAGTCTTGTAGATAGAACGTGTAGCAGGGAGAATTGCCCCCCTGCTCCCACTGTGAGCTGTGTCCCAAACCTTGCCCTGCCCCACCCCCCCAAACCACCCCGGGAGATGCTGTCGCTTCTAGACATCTTCACAGGCCCCCACAGCTATGCGGGCTCCAGGCTGAGGCAGGCCCCGCCCTTGGTTTGCTGCCCTGTTGGCACTATGGTGAGACTCCTGATGTTCGAGTAAGGGGCTGCACATTATATTCTGTGCTGAATCCCACAAATGATGAAGTTGGGCCCGCCTCTGGCAGTCCGAGTCCCCTTCCCAGGGCAGCTGCAAGGCAGGCTGGAGGCACAACCTTAGAGTCCTCTCTCCAGGGAGGAGAAATGAGGTGAGAAGGGAACATGGCTATTTCCTCTCAAAGACCCCTCTCAGTGGGCAGGACCACATGGGCAAATCAGCAGCTATCTCAAGCAGCTTCAACAGAGGCCCCAGTGTGCTGAGGGAAGCCGGAGCAGGCGCATTTCAGGTAGCGGAGGACAAGAGGCGGACAACAGCCGAGGCGGGGGCCCCTCAGTGGGGTGCAGGGGCCCTGATATTC